GTTTCTATCTGATAAAATAAAAACCATTTATCCAAGCCTCTTATGAAAGGCTAGATAGTGGATATTGATGTTTCTGATAGATGAAATGCTCCCAAACCAGCTCATCCTGATATGACTCATCAAGAGTGAGGCTTTATACAAACAAAAAGTTCCCTCAAGATTTAAACTTTCAACTGGACGATTAACTGATAAATCTAAAAATCCAGATTCTCAATTGAGACTGACTCCATACGGTCAAATTAATGAAGCAACAATTTCCTTGGGTGACTTGGAACATTACACTAGCATTTTGACAAAAATGCACTGGTGAAAGTAGTGATGCCTTTTCCATTATTCATTTAAACATTTTCACTAGCACTTGTTTTTTAGGAACTGCAGATAAAAGAAACATACCCCTACTTGGAGAATTAAAAGATGGTGTTCAAGAGAGCCGTACTCAAAACAATGAATTTACTTGTCTCATTAGTGTTCTGCAAATCCTTCTGTCTTTCCTATTTTTATCCATGTTGGCTACAAAGTCTTGACAGAATGCTTAGATACCCAGATGGATATTAATATGTTCAGTGAGATCAAGTATGTGAACAGCTGGCATTTTTTGTTTTGTTTGTGTTTGTTTCTTTTTTTGTTTGATGCTTTTCATATCTTAAAGATATCAAAAGGTTATCTCTGGTAGTATTACAGGCCAGCAAGTTAACTGAGTTTGCGATCAAGGTGTTTGCGATCTCAGTGAAGAATATTTTGACCTTTCTGTGTTTTGTTTTACCAAAAAAAAGGATTGTGTTGATTAAGTTCCCTGTGTCCAGAAAGAAGTGGTGATGCATAAAATCGATGTCATTCCTAAATGAAGACTAAGTTAAATATAATTTTTATATATGAAGATATCATTAGAAGATAGGTTTATAGGTATCCACAGCTTCTCTTGGCAGCCTGTGCCAGGGCCTCACTGCCCTCTGAGTGAAGAATTTCTTCCTAAGATCTAACCTAGATCTCCCTTCTGTTAGTTTAAAGCCATTTTCCTTAGTCCTATCACTATCAGAGCATGTAAAATTTTGCTCTCCTTCCCATCTGTAAGCTCCCTTCATGTACTGGAAGGCTTCAGTGAGATCTCTCCAAATCTTCTCTTGTCCAAGTTAAACAAGCCAATTCTCTCAGTCTGTCTTTGTAGGAGAGGTGCTCCAGTCTGCTGATCATCTTCATGATCATCATCTTAAACATAAATTACATCAAAATCTAAGCTTGCTTTGGAGTTTTTCATATAAACTGTAGATTTCAAATTCATTTTAGATGGCAGGCAAAGTAGTCGTTGATCACAATTAAGGTATTTTTAGTTAGTATCTCTGGCTTCTTTGAGAGTATTGCAATTCTGATTGTACCCTGTGGGAATCTACATGCAAAGCCAAATTAGTAAAAGCCATACATGCCAGCCAAACAACTAGCACGGCCTGTCACATTTGAGCTGTCCTTAAAATATTTTCTTCAATAAAGTCAGAGAAAGTGAGGGATAAATTTGTATGTGATTCAACTTGAAGTAATCACAAACTTAAGACATAGAGCTACCCTGTTTGTTCCAATTCTCATCATGACAGTGCTTTAGTGAGTGAAGAAAAACTGAAATTCTTTAATAGAGATGTATTTGGCAGAGATGAATGTATAGGGAGATAGAATGTATAGGGATATAGAGATGAATATATCTGAATATATTAGGAATATATTTGTTTGCCTGATGTTTTAGACCTTCCAACCTAAATATCCCCTAACTGAGCCAGAATGTTGAGTGAAGACTGAACCTCTGAATATACAGTCACAAGCATATTTCAGTAGGATTACCTGTGGAAAACTTTCATTTCAGCATACTCTGTGATAGGGAAGAGGAGTTTCCCCAGCGATGTTTCAGTTGCATTTGGGCTTTTAACAATTAAGGTGCTAAAGCACTTATCAGGGAACGCCCAATATGCTCCTAATTTACAGTCTGCCTTGTTTTCTTGTGATTTCTTTTTTATGTCCATAATCAACATTATCAAATTAAAATAAATATAGAAGGATAGAGGGAGAACAAGGAATGCATACTAAATAAGGTCTATCGTAACTCATAACAAGGTTATAATGTGAAGAACTGTTACCATATTCTGCAATAGTCATTGCAGCTGCTTAGAGATCAGTGTAAGACAGATAGAAGTAGATATACTTTTGCACATAGGCAGGGAGGGAATTTTTTTTTTAAATTTATTGCCACAGAAGGCTGGGTTGACAGACAGCATAAGCAGATTCAGAAAGAAGTTAGAGAAATTTGTGGGCATCAGTCTAAATACTGCATAGATACTAAAGAGAGCAAGAGATGCACCATCCAGCACCCCTGATGGGGTGACTGCAGATGCCAGAGGAGCTTAGAGGGAATGGGCTACAAGGCAGTCACCACACTCCTTTGCTTTCCCTAGGCAGCCACTCTAGTTGTTGCTGTCAGGAGCAGCACACTGGCCTGGGTGCTTGAGCACGTCTCATCTTCTTAACTCACTTCTGCCTGACTAATGAATTGTTTAGACCAGAGTGTCTCAAAGCTTCCCAGCAGCAAAGGCAAGATTTAATTTCGTGGCTGTGACAGCATTTCTGCTTTAGGCACCATCCTCCTGGAGAGTGGCGAGATGGAGTGAGGGCTGTGCCCAGCCACCGTGACGTGCTGACCATGGGCTGGCTGCCCAGGGATGGCTCTGCTGCTGCTGCTGAGCCAAAGGGGCTGGCTCTGTTAATTAACAGCTTCCCCACTGCTGCCAGAGTATGTACATCTGCTGCTCTAACTACTCTGTGTAGGACTGCAATTGGTATATTAAGATGTTACAAAGCTCTCTGAATAATTTGAATCTAAGGATCCTTTTCCTAGTTATTTGTTATCCTATGGGTTTTACCCTAGGACATGCCATCTAAGTTCAATTTAAATTCTACGTTTCTTATATTTCAACTATACAGTGGTTGCTTTAACAGGCCACTTACAAAGGTGATGGCTTACATTATAGCAGAAAAATTCCAGAATTTCCACTCTTGGGATTGCAGATTCACAGTACATGGGGAACAATGAGGAGTTTTCTTGAAAAATTGAACACATCCACCTTAGTGAATCAAAGCTAATCGCACTGTAATAATGTGGGACAGTTCTTCTGCAACATTGTGGACATCTAGATTCCTTGCTAGTGTTAAGCAGAAAGGAGGTGTGTATCTTGTGTGCATGTGCATTTAGACTCAATGCTTGAAAGCACATTAAGAAGCACATATGACAAATTTGCAGATAGGTAAGGCCCTTTACACCAATAATTTCTTAATCTTTGGTTTAAAATTCCATGAGTGTTGTGGTATTCCCTGACTAGGGAAGTGTTTGTTCCTCTGTACTTAGCACTGGTGAGACCATTCCTTTTCAAGAGAAATAAAATGTTGAGTGTTCCTACCAAATAGAAAATAAAGAAAATAGAAAATAAGATGCACAGCGGCAAGTTCCCTTCAGAAACCTTTACTTTGTTTATACGTTGTATTATTTAAAATATACTTATGTAGCTGGAGACATTAAAACTATTCTTCTGTGTGTAAGGCCACATTTTAAGAAAACATTTCTGCTTTGGTGTTTAGATTTAATTCTTAACACTCATATTTAATAATTAAATTAAGCAAATTAGGTATTTCTTCAGTAATACTAGCAGCTAACAAGACATTTGCTGACTTTATGAAAGAATTTTACATTTTATTATTTAGTCATAAAATTGAATACTTTTATAAGGAAAGTATTGTGTTACATTCTGCTACCATATAAGTTGCAAGTCTAGAACTGCAGTTGACTGAAGCTGCTTCAGTAATGGACCCTAAAGAAAGGAACTGGCACTTGGGTTAAAAAGTACAAAGCTACCAGGTAGAAATAAATAAATATGAGTCTTCAGGCTGTGAATATATTGCTTTAATGACTAGTGTCTAAGGAGTTGAGATGCTTTATTTATCTAGGCCGAAATGGGATTCAGTAAGCCAGCTTTCTATTCCTAATAATGGACCAATATTTTTTTTATTTTCTTCATGTAAATTTGAGAGTGGATTTTGTTACATACAGGTAAGGACAGGTTACAAATAATCAATACTTACTGCTGTCTGTTAGGCAAATCTCTTGGGCTGCAGAGCTTCTTGGAAGTTTTTGGGAAAGAGTTAAGAATCTAATGTCAGTGGAAGATCTAGGGGAATCTATAAATATGATCGGTTCCCTTCTCTACTGTGTCCTTAACTTGGCTGGTGGTTATCAGTGCTTTGCCTCTGGTCTGATTTGGGGTGACCAGTTACAAGAGTTACAAACAAAAAGATTTCACTGAAGGGAAATGCAGGATTTTAATTCAAATCTTACATTGCTTGTGATAATGTTTGTAACAAGCAATTATGCAATGGAAGGATGCAGGATGGGTGAAGAAAGGAATGGGCTTTTTCAAAGTACAGCAACAGAAACCAATTTAGATTGCATGTAAGATGTGCTTCTTTATGACTGATATGCCTGCTTCAGAAAAAACACTCAGTACATTCAAGTACACTTGTGAATGTGAATAGTCTAAATAATTTAAGAATCCATTTGCAAACCACTTATATCTACCTCAGCCTGCTCACAGGATTTTTGATGCCTGTCAGCTGCACAGGACCACACTGCTCATGACACAGAAATGTTGCTTGCCAAATGTCTTGCTGAACTGTGTGCCCTGAAACCTCACAAGTGCTTTTAAAAAAATTGTTATTTTTTTATTTACTGGGGGAATTTTCCAGTACTGTTCTGTTTCCCTTTTTGTTCCTTTCCTGCCTGTTCCTTCCCTTTGGTTAGTAGTTTCCATCTGGTGGGTAGGTTGTAATAAGTTCTCACTATATCCAGTAACTCAAATTATAATTAGGTATTCTTTAGTGGCAGGGTATTACCCATTAGTCACTGTTTCTAATATGCATTGTGTATGCACACTTCACGTATCTGAATAAAAGTCTCACCTTGGAATCAACAGGCCAGAACCAGTACTGTGGACAAAGGATGGTGGAGAACTACCAGATCCAGAGCGAATGGTTGTCAACGGCAGAGTCCTCAGCATCAGTTTCCTAAACAAAACAGACAATGGCACATATCGATGTGAAGCAAAAAACCCAATTGGCCGAAACAGCACAGAATATGTTCTGATAGTACATGGTAAGTGCATTCTCTATAGCTCTTTGGCACATGTTAGACGTTTGTAATGTTTGAGGAAAATTGGTTGCTTAGGATCATTAATGCAAGAATATCAGGAAAAAGCTAAAAGCATAATTGCACTTCTATTGACATTACCCTCTAGTTATAGTGTGTGTTTTTATTTCCTTCTACCAGATGCCTCTCTTTGTAAAGTTTAAGCAAAATGTATTCATTAATGTAAGCATCTGTAAAAATACTGGGTACTGTTATGTTAAAAACTTGCCTCACACATAATGTATAGCTAAGGTGGTTACAGAAATACATATGAAGGGAAAATTGGAAATACAAGGCAAAATGCACAAGTTACGGCTTGCTACTGCTTGTCATCATCAGCATCTGACTTATTTTTGTAATCAATCCTCAAAAATACGTTCTGTACTAAATTCACAATCCATCTTCCAATGAAACTGATAAATCAGAAGGCTCCCATTAAATTACAATTTACAAATCTAGCAGTCTCAAAGTATAAAGTTTGTTTTATCACATATATATACATATTAATTCCTAGAAAATGTTTGAATTTTAACCTAAGTGAATAAAGAGGTGAAAGCTCTGCTATACTTTACCACGGTACTATTTCCCCCTACTTTTTACATGAAAGCAACTTTTTTTAGGCCTTGGATAAAGTAATGTCTTCCTTGCTTACCAAATAACAGAAATTTCTATCATTTGTGTTTTGTACTCAATTTATTTATATGATAATTTTTGAAAACATAGTGTTTGGTAATAGTAGATTTTCCATCAGTGCTGACTTTGCAGTATACCCTCATCAAAGACTATTTTGCAATCTCCTATATTTCTTTCATGTAGTGGTATGCCCCCTGTTGATCTGATTATCTTGCAACAATTTCATGGCAATCTGTAAAGTTATTCATTACGAGGAAGGCATTCTGTTGTGTGGCAACACATTAGGCATGTTATCAGGTTTAGCTTGAACACTGCTGACCTTTTCTGTTATGAGTACTGTCGTTTTCCTAATTGCATTTCTTGAATTCTGGTGTTAAAACTGAAGAAGATAAATGTCAGGTGCTTCCTAGATTACTGTAGCAATGAAAGTAGTGTGACAGAGTATGTGCTGGTGTTTAGTGCTTAACAACTTACTGCATTTCTGAGTTTTTTATGTTTATTTTAAATATGGAAGAGACTGACATAATTATTTTATGAATTGTACTACAATTGGTTGTATAGATCAATTTAGACAGTGTCTTATCCTTTCTTTAGTTCATTGGATTCCCTAATGTCCCTAGTGGAACCTAATCCTCTCAGAGCAATTCATTATTATCATTCTTGTTCTCTCTTCTTCTGTCTCTTTTTTTTTCTGCTAGCAAAACTACATTTTAGCTTTCTCTGAGATGCATTCTTCTTTTTAATAGAGGATATATTTTCTCTGTATCTTCCAAAATGTATCTTGGAGCATCCTTTGATTTGCCGTCACTTCCCCTGTGTGTTCCCACTTGTAACTTTTTGGATCTGCTCCTTCTGATACAGCTAATGTATCATATGAACATGCCTTCTGATCACAAGTCTTTGGTATCTAATACAGGTACATGCCAGACATAAGGGGAGGTATATTTATAAAGATGTGGGAAATGAGGGGGAAGAAATCTATATGTAGAGAAAATATCTCTTCTTTGATGTTGCAAGTCAAGGAAGTAATGCCTAGGAAAAAGAGACCTAGCCCACTGCCCTTTATGAAACCTCTGAAAGTCCATTGCCACAGTGTTAAACAGCTAACAGATTTTTAGTATAATCTTCAGCCCAGAGGAAGTACGGTGATGGAGAGAAAGAATGATAATCACTTCCCCGAGTTTAGGGTGATACTGCCGCTGATTCACTTTTGCCAGGCAAGCTGGTGTGAGAAAGCAAGGGACATCAATGACTCTACAGAGTCAGAGAAGTGTAATCTGATTCATAACTTTTTTTTTTTTTTACATCCAAATTGTGATTCCATCTACATTTTTTTCCACTTCTACAGCTTTTCTTTCTTCTGTTCATTAAGGGTTCAAAAGTTTCATATGACTTCCAATTCTTTTTTCCCCTATTTATTTCCTCTCAGTGAGACTTTGTGTACTAATTCCCTCAATTTCTGAAGTTATATCTTACAGTTATCTTCCTAACTCAGAACAGATTTAGACAGCTCTAGTATGGATAGAAGCTTACCTAAAAATGAAAGATGTCATTTATCGTAATTAGAGATAAAGAGTAAAGAAAATTTATATATATACTAAGAAAAGAGTGTGTCATGCCTTTGCCAACCTAGTCAAACTATTATAGAGAAAAGTAATATTATTTCCACTGTAATGACAATGATGTAATAGTATTTTGATGTTAAATGATGGCAGTGGAAATATACATATTTAAAATACATAAAAAACATATTCCTATAAGCAGATAAATGGCAAGGTGTAATATAAATATCATCTGATAACATAAGAAAATCTTTTTTTTAGATTTGTATTTTAATTAAAGAAATCAAGGAAAATGAATGTGTTTAAATAAGGTAAAAGGCATTGACTATTAAGCATACTCATGCTGCTTTGCTGAATCAACACAGCTGCTAACTTCAGTTCTTAATAATAAATGTCAAGAAAACATTTCAAGAAGGGGGAAAGTGGGCACCAATTCAGAGTTTATAGGCAGCGGTGCAAAGGCAAGCTGTGGTATGCTAAAACACTTGTCTCTTGCAGTAACAAAGGCACATGCTTTAATGCCTGTAGCTGTTGTCATTTTTGTATTCTAATTGGTAAGCTTAGTGCTTTAGAAGTGTGCATTCTGGTTAGGTACATCACATACTTCCTTTGGCAATAGGCTGCTGGCAATTTTCACTCTTTTTTTTAATTTATTAAGAATTTTTGTTTGTCCAAATATAGTCATTAATCATCAGTAAACAGATCTAGCTCTGAGTCTCATGGTGCTCAGCTCAAAAACATAGATTCTACTGGCAAAGCTTAGGTAATATGTGCAGTGATGTGCAGTGATAGACAGAGTTGAGAGAGGATGTGGTCCATCATGGTCAAACTGAAGAAACAGCTGCTGTGTATGTAACTCGTGACCTCTAGATATTGAAAGCCTAGTTCAGCACTGTAGTGAGTAGGTGACAGAAGTCCACATGACTGAGAGATATTCTTAGTGGGAGGGGCAGCATTTGATAAGACCTGATGAGACCTGTTTGAAATAAGCTACCTGGGGTGAAATGTCCTAATTTACTAATTTAAAGCCATGTATTCCACCAAGAGAAATACTAAGAGCAATAATGTGGCATACATCAATGGTCTACCAAAGAAATATAGTAACTGACATGAATAAGCTGCTGTGGGTGGTCAGTTATATAGTAGAAAAAAGATTGAGCCAGAAACTCAGTATTTCTGCAGAATAAGAAGTAGCTTAGCATATTCCCTTGACTTCAGACTCTAAATTTTTTTTATTTATTTTTTTTTTTTACAAAATATTTTTCTGCAAATAAAGGCAGCTGAGTTACTGAGTTATATTGTTAATATTTTGAAACATAATTTCAAACATAAAATCTCCTACAATATGCTGATCCAAAGGTTTCCCTCCACCTCTCCTCTGGACAGTGAGTATTTCTCTTCCATGTGCATGTCCAGTCCTATTTCAAAACATTTATCATCTTGGGTTTTTACAGTAACCTGTGGCAACAAGTTTCTGAATTGAATTATGGCTTTTGAGGGAAATGATCTCTTCTGTTTGTTTAAGCCTGTTGGCTGAGCTCCTCATTTCTTAACTTTCCAATCTACTTGGCATCTTTTGTTGTTTGTTCTGTAAGTACTGGAAATGCCACTGTGATGACTGATCACGTTTGCATTCTGATGGTGTTTTCTCATCTTTCTTTCCATCACCTCCATTCCTTCCTTCAAATCCAGTACACTTCCTGTTATAAAGTATGAAGCCACCAATAATTATAGCACTTTGAACTTCTTTTCCTATGCAAGTTTCTTTTCAGATTAGTAAAAACTGTGGAATCCAAAGCACATCTGAAATCAAATTCCAAAACATCTATCAGCTCTAAACTCCTTTATATTTTGCCCACTATCATATTTATTATTTATTTTTTTATTTCTGTTTTGAAGTTATCATAGAAGCCCCTCCCTTTATTTACATAACTCAGTTGTGCACATCTCTCGCTCTGGAAGTAAATACTGAGTCTGAAGTAATTTGGAGTCTGTCTGAGGAGGAACTACTTTTTTTCCTTTTCTTTGAAAACTGAAGATGTCAGATCATAGATCTCCTGCTTTGTGAATATTTTCACTGCAAGCCTCTAATAAACCTTGTAGAGTTTTTGGACACCTTTTTCTCATAAACATGTTTAAAAAAATAAATAAATAAATAAAATTCAGTGCATAGTAGAGAGAGGTGGGAAGGACAGAAAAGAATGGGACACATCCATGTGGAGCAGCAGGCTCAAAATTAAACCAGTTGTTCTCCATTTTGGTGTCAAGATTCTAGATACTGAGGTGGCTGGACATTTTCTAAAGTTGCTTTCTTTATGATTCCTGAGATGAAACATCTCACAGAAACAGTGAAGAGACTTTCCTTGCCTGTGGGAAAATCCTATCCTTTGACTGAACAAAGCTTGTGCTTCTGAAAAGAGAATTGAGCAGACTTGTGATGTAATGGAGCAATAATAACCTGTAAAGCTACAATAGAGAGTGTTTTTACTAAAAACTGTCTCTACTCCCACAGCAATCAAGGCATATCAAGAAAATGGGTCTCAAAAGACCACTTAAGACTTCATTTGAAATTCTGTGCATGCGAATATCTATACTTTTTAGTTTTGAGATTTTTTTATCTGTGTTTGAATGAAAAGAAAGTGGGTGTCTCAGTTCTGAGTCCTTAATACGGAGGTGAAAAGAACAGTCTTTCCTATTTCCATCTTTTAAAAAGTAAAAATAAAATAAAGACAACTCACTGGTGGAGGGATTTGAGGTTTTATAGGAAAAATA